GGTATCAAAACTCCAACAGATCCCAAATGTTAAAGTGTAAACTACCTTTTTTATTCAAATTGTTGATTTTCTTCTGGTGACAAAAATCTTCTGTAACACTTAGTACCCTTTCTTTGCCATAATGACACCTAGAAAAGCTCCCATTTTTTCCCCCAAACTTTGGGCACCTTATTCATTATCTCTCCCCTATTATTTTTAATACTGCATATTAACATATACTACACAATTAGTTGTTTAAAATTAAAAATAATTTCTTAAAGGCATTTGACAAGCTGAAGAACAAAATAAACTCAGATTAAATAACTTGAACTAAATGCTCCCATGCACAAACAACTCTTAAGTGAAACGGTATGAACAAGAGATGACACTACAATGACTACAGCAAGGAGATCCCCTAAGATCACAGCAACTTTCTCCAGTCAACTCTCGGACTGAGATACCCATTATTCATGTTCCAATTAGCCGTTTTTCCATCTTCCAAACTTCCCTACTCTCCTTATCCAACTTTTGGCTACTCACTACTCATTTGTACCTATCCTTTATGATGGACAAGGAGAAAAGGATATCAAGTAGTAAAAAAAATATAATGAAAAATCAGTAATACCAGTGACAAGGATTTTAAATGTCACTGTTATTTGTGTCTCAACACAGCAACATTTGAACAGACAAAAATGTAGTGAATCTTGCTGTTAAAAACTGCTAAATGATAATGAAAGAAGTGTGAGAAAAGTCATTTTCCTGAAGTTAAACCATCACTACCCCAAAGGTTATCAGAAATGCTACATATTGACTGAAATAGTGAATAACAATATTTATTCAAAATACTTCAAGCAAGTAGGTTCTAATACTTTCTCATATTCTACAGCAGCATATTCTAGAATTCAATTGAGAATGACTAAAAATAAAGCATACTGAAATTTCAGATTCATAGATAAATTCAGAGGATGATTCCTACAATAGAAGGCAACAAATGTTGGCATTAAATAATATATTCATTTTTTAGTTAACTGCATGGTTAATAATACCAGCAAGTAGAACACACTAAATGTACATGACTTACTAAGCACATTTTGCCAATACTTACATTTTAAAAAGCAACAGTATTAGAGTTTGGATGAAAATCTAATATGTGTATCTATTTGTACACTACTTAGGTTTGTAGTAAATTCTAGACATATCTATGTATATCAGAGGTAACGTTAAAACTTAATGAAGTAACTATAGTTTAGTAAACTTGAGCTAGGTAATCTATGTAATACACGAATCACAATAGCAATCAGAGAACTGAGTGCCTCTGTTAGTAAATATTAATGTCATATTAAGCCACAGTTAGGCATATTGTGATTTGTATAGAATATATGTAAGAATACTCACACTGCTCCATGGTTTAGCACACAGAAAATTGTGTGGCTATAATCTAAACTAGCTTGCACTTCTTGGTTGAAGTGCTATCCTAACTTAAGCTTTCATGATTAGCATTTAGAATTAACATATTTCTAACAGATTACTTATATGGAAGTAATTTGAAAGTCTGATTAAGAATAGTTAGAATTAAACATCATCCTTAAAGAAAAACACCTCTATGCATCAGTAAAAAGGCACTGATATGCATTCTGACACAAGTTTCAACTCAACTGTTATACTGAACTTCATGTATGCTTATGTTTGCTACTTCATTTATTTTCTCATGCTGGGGATTGAACGCTGGACCTAGCATGTGCTTTACCACTGAACCACACCACCCAGACCCTACTTCATCACTATTAAAAATAAATCAGGCTTTCTTCTGAAAAAGAGGTTAGTATGTTAACTATGATTTTAAATGGCTATCTTTTATGTTAACCACAAGTATTTCTCATAAATCTCTTAAGAAAATCATATTTTTAATATAATGCAATATCAGCTAACTTAGCACTTTTAAACTTTAAGTCTGGGTTACAAAGTACCAACAGCTCTTTAACTGAATGCCTACTGTTTGTCGGATTCTGAACTTGGTCCATCTTTGCCTATAATCTTGAGCCTCTATGGAACCCAAAAACATTTTTGTCTATAGAAAGTGACTGATTGTTCAGAAAGTATAAATGTATCTTGGTACAAACATTTCATCTTCAGAAACCCAATAATGACTTCAATAATGTAAAAACATCACTTAACATGTATTTTGTTAAAATTAAATGGAAAGTTTATAAATACTCCATTCTTGACATACAGATGACACCAGTAATCTCACTGCCCACAATTACTTTCTAATGCTAAACATCTTTAGCTATTCAAAATATATAACAATGGGATGGTGGAGTGGTTCAAATGGTAGAGAGCCTGCTTAGCAAGTGTGAGACCCTGAGTTCAAAACCCCAGTACCATCACCAAAAAAAAAAAAGCAAAATATATAACCAACTGGCTACTGAAGCTACAAGTACAAGTCAAGGATACTTAAAACAGAACAAAGAAAAGTATAGGAAGATTAACTTATCTATTATTGTTTTAGGGCAAGAAAAGATAAAAGGAACAAAGTCATTCCAAAGTTTAGATTTAAAAGTAATGAAAAATACTCTTTAACATAGGTTAATTACAATAAATTTCTGGGTTTTGTAATCAACTGGTAATTTAAAAATAATAGTTTTTCTAATTCTAAAGAATCAATTTGCCAAAATAAGGTTTAAAGTAAAAATACATGAACTAGCTTAGTTTATCCTGATCTAAATCTGTGACTGATAATAAAAATATTCTAAGGATATACATAAATGAAGCAAAAATAGTTGCCCATTCTTATGAACTAGAAGTAACATCACAAACAGTAACATTAAATTTCACAAAGTTTACACTTTTGCATACACACTATTCCTAAGTGTGTACCTCTGACACGTTCAGAATTCGGCTACACAATTGACTTATGGGGCAGTAAGCCTCTAGAGCCAGTATAATTACAACAATTAGCCAAAAGAGGGCGCAGAAAGAACACCAGAGTTTTCTTAGGACACTGCCTATTGGCTTCTCTCTAGCAGAGTAACAACAATTACAAATCCCATAGTAGGGTTAGGTGTATTAACTTGAAAACACTGAAAGTTACAGAGTAAGTATATAGAGACATATTTCAATATAAATTCTTACGTAACTACATTGTTAAGTAGCATCTCTTAATTCAAACAAAATAAGTGTATTAGTTTGTAGACCAATAACTTAAGAGGAAATGGATACAAGAGGGATCAGGACAGAGAGTATAAAGAGAAAGAAGGGAAGAGAATGTGCCCTAGAAGTGGTGAAAACCAAAAACACAAGTCTTCAGAATGGGAAATAAAAGCTCCATCATTACCTTTCAGCATAGCTGCTGCTACTACAGGAAGTATAATATGTCAAGAAAGTTCTTTGTGGGGTCTTCATCTTGGCTCTGCTGTTTTCTCAAGGTTCTTATATGAAGGGACTATACACAACACGAGGTGTTCAGCCTATATCTACCCACATATGTATGTATAGATACAGATGAATATTTTTTTTAAAAAACACCTTCCTTTTAACAATTCTATCATTAGTCAAATTTGGTCAGTTGGCTTGCACAAAATCCAACTCCTCTGCATTACACAAATATACTAATTTTGTGTTTCATTAAGCTTTATAAATATCTTTCTTGGATCAAATTTACTATGTGTCTTAGCACCAATAAATACTTTCATCTGCTACTTCTAAAAGTAATAAAATATAATTAGGACATGAAAAACATGGTATCAATATTTCTGAGAACAGCTTGTTCTATTATTTTAAAATATTTGAAAAGATAGTTATAGTTTCTGAAAAAACTAGCCATGGTATAGCTAACTGGTGCCAATGGTAACAATCTAGTTCACTATTTCCCAGGTATAATTCCTTATTTCCAACACTAACTAAAAGAAAACTACACGTATGTTCCAAGAATAGTGGATTCATTCAATATTCTTTTCAGAGGAAAGACTGCAAGTACATAAAAACATATAAGGGTTTGCAGTATACTGATGGAAAAAATTAAAAGCTGAATTTTTTCAAAGCACACTAAGTGTCTTTTCATGAAACTGTTCTATACTTCCCAAGAGACCATCACTGTTAGCAGTTTAAATTTGCATAAGGTTTATGATAAATATAGATCAGAATATTTTCTTATTTTAAGGTCATTTCCTAACATAGCTTCTAATAAAAATTCTCTAGAGCAATGCAAATTAGAGTTGGCCAATGGAAATTAACTTCAGTTTGGGTAACTATTGGTACATAAACATTAGTGATTTACTTTTACCAGTAACTTCTTATAAATAAAACTTCAATATCAGTTAGCCAGTTTCTATTACAAATAAACCTGCAGTGTATATTTAGATCTACTAGTAGATAAATAAAAGTAAGAAGTATATATTTTTTTAAAACCACAATATTCTTCTTTATACTGTACATTATATATTATCTAGTAATACTAGCATTTTAAAAACATATGCATTCTAATATAACCGCACTAGAAAAAGTAACTGAAATTATTGCAAATCTTCTACCCTTCTTTGCTCATTAAAATCTTATGGTAAAACAGGAATACATGCCCACTAGTCACAAATTTCTCTTGGGAGCAGATATTCTAATAGCAATTAATAATTACAACAGTAAAGGGAAAATTAATGTGGAAAAAAAATCAATCTTTCCTTCACAATAAGGTAGGTAGATGATGGTTCACTTCAGTGGTATTTTTATTGTGGTTTTAGTGAAGAGAAAAGGAGAAAACATTAGAAAGCTACTCCTAAGAAAACATTGCCCTTTGTTGTTGTTCACGCCTCTGCTGCACTTTTAAAAATCTTGCAGCACATACAAAAAAAGCATTAAGTATTTTAACTTCTACTTGAAAAAGAAAATTTACATTTAAGAAGGTATATCAAGTTTTGTAAAACCTGAAGAATTAATTTCAGATTTGGTTAGTACTGCTTAAAAGTAAACATTTTAAATAAACATCTGAAATTTCCCATAAATTAAAATCTATAACACTGTCAGTACTAAAAGAAATTTATGTACAATTATTTCATTCCAACCATTGCCTTTTAAGTTCAATAACAAAAGCACTTAAAGAAATCCCAGTGGAAAGCTAATTTGAAAGTAAACATGCTTTAAAACTTAAATATAGATCTTGTATTAGTCCCACAACAGGATCAAGATCACTATTAAAATAAAGCCTGGGGCACATTATGATGCCTAAGATTGGTGGGTGGATTTTAATTGACTTGAAGACTGTCATAGTTCTATTATCATAAACCTGTAACGCATTTCCAGCATGGAGGACCCATCTGTGCCCACCATCCATCTGTTTAGACATGATTGGCAAAGTGGTAGGGAACTCGCAGTGGTTGCCTCTGCCTGAAAGGAATGAACCACAGGATCTTCCAACGAGTGCCAAAAACTTCTGAGAAGGTCTGCTGCCATGGCTTTCGAGGCCTCGATCTACAGAAGACAGCATTATTAGTGAAAGACAGCACTCCCATGGTGCACTTCAGTCAGCTAAAACAATACAGGTTGGCTGGGGATCCATTACTGGACTCTGATGAATTGTGTCCCAGCATCACAAATACAGCTTTTCTTTCACTGTGGCATGCAGCTGAGTTTTAACTCTGGATAGCAGATATTGTATCTGTGTCGTCAATCAACCTAGGGCAACTTTTGAAGCAGAGGAGAATCTCGGGATTCACAGAATGTGTGTCAACAACACAGTAGCAAATCTCTTTTGATGTACTTTCAGAGCAAATAATTTAACTTACTTTCGTGAGGCAGGGAAAAAGAATGATCAGTACTTATTTTGTTTAAAACCTATCATGGCTAGAAGACCCCCACTATAAGACTGGGGTATGATTGTCTAGCTCAGGCCTCAGGCAAGGCACCAGGAAAAAGCTGTCATTGCATTATCTTTCCACTATATGCACACAGTTCTCAAACAGGGCTAGTTGTTCCAAGTTTTTAAATAAGAATACCACACACCTCACTTTTATACTTACATTTCTTCACAACAGTTTGACATCTTTTCAATAGATGTTGTATCCTATTAAAAATAAAAAAAATCTCAGATGTAATGAATTCATCAAATATTTATACTTATTTTTGATGTTTTTAATACTATTCAGACAACAATCTGAAGATTTTAAAAGTTTATGTATCTAAGAATTTTAAGTTATTTATATACATTGCTTGAGTTCCCTTGGAAAAACAGAATCAACATTACACTATGCCAGAAAAACTGTTCAAGCACTTGCAAAAAATGTGTATCGCTTCATTTAAATATACACTTGCTTTCTTGATAATTCTTTTTAAAGTCTAGTATTTATTTCTAACTCAACTGTCAGCAAATATGCATTAAAAATAAAAATAAAAACTAATAAACAGAAAACTACAGAGTCAAAGAAGGCTCTTGGTTTTAGATATCTGAACAGCAAAATTCAGCAAGGCAAACTATGAATCTGCTATATTACAACATCTATTGCTCTGAAAAGTAAAGTCAGCAGATTAGTATTCTTTGGTTAAAAACTATTTCTTTTTTAACAGAAAAATCAATCTTAACAACACAATTTCTTATTGCATGTTTTTTAATGAGGCTCTAAACAACAATACAAAGAAGATAGCTTCTACAAATGCTAATTTAAACTATGTTAACAGAAGGCCTATCATAAGATTGAGAAACAGTTACAAGTAATGGCCACATAATCAACACACAAATTGCATAATCTTGTTTTTAGATAAAAAAATTATACTTTAAACATACTTTAAAGAAGTACAAAAAAATACATTCTTTCAAATACACAAAAATGTTAGGTAAGTTTTTCTCTTTTCCCTTTAATATCTTGCTCACATATAGACAATAGACTGTGCAATTATTAAACAGAACTATTCATGCTAGTGGATGCAACTCAAATCCCAATAACTTATTTGACTACACAAATTTTCCAATGCTAATGAACAGCACCATTACTTAAAAAAAAAACTCTTTAGAGCTGTTACATGAATAGGTCATGATCCTAAATTCTCATATATGAGTAACTGAATGACCAGTTGGCCTCCATAAGGGAAAAAAAATCTGTGGCTAAGATAACTAGAAATCAATAACAAATAACAGTTTCATTTACAGAAATTCCAAGGATTTCTAAAGAAATTATGACTACAGGAAATAGTAAAACTACACTGGAACATATAGGCATAGGCAATGACTTCCTAAATAGAACTCCAAAGGCTCAGCAAAATAAGAGAAAAGATGAGCAAATTGGACTGCATCAAACTAAAGAGCTTTTGCACAGCAAAGGAAACAGTCACTAGACTCAAGAGACAGCCCACAGAATGGGTGAAAATCTTTGCCAGCTATACATCTGATAAGGGACCAATATCCAAAATCTATACAGAGCTAAAAAAAAAAAAAAACCCTCAACCCCAAAGAACCAACAACTCAATAAAGAAATGGGCACATTTCTTTATTGAACAGGGAATTTTCAAAGGAAGAGGTGCAAATAATCTATATATACATATACATATATATACATACACACACACACACACACACACAATGGAGCATTACTCAGCCATAAGGAAGAATGAAACTATGTAGTTTGAAGGTAAATGGAATTGGAGAAATCATGTTAAATTAAATAAGCTAGGTTTAGAAAGACAGAGTCCCCATGTTTTCTCTCATATGTTGGAAGATAAATCCAAATGATAAACATATACACAAAAACAATCATATACACATTTATATGTAGAACATGTTTGTAATAATGAAACTACTCTACAGCATTCAGGAAGGAAGAAGAGGAAAAGAGAATGATAAAGTGTTGACAATTTGAAGTGCATTACAACAGTGTAGGTAGAGGACATAAGGATATGTACTGAAAGCTGTTGCATAATGGGAGGTGGGAGGGAAGGGGTAAGGGAGTGTAACAAAAGGGATTGAATGAGCCAAAGTTAAGTATATTAAGTATATTAAGGGATACAAGGAGAAACCCCTTTGAACACTGACTTTGGAATTAATAGCAAAAGACAGGACAGTAAAATAGGTACAGTGAAGAGGATAAGGAAGTCAACTGCAAGGTCAGATTACTATCCCCATGTAATATTAAGAAGTTTTACTCTGCAGAAATCTGCAATTTCACTATAACCTTGAGGAATTCATTCCTCAATGATGGAGTCAACTTTAAAGACTTCAGATTTAGATTTCTTATACAAAAAGCTTTTATTCGCAAGTTTTTTGACATCTTTCTAGAATGCATTTCAGGAAATAACTAAAATACTACCTTTAAATCAACCCAAGCAGATGGCTATTCTTTCACAAGATGTGATGTTTACTATTACTTTATGTATAGGATTTCTAAGACTGACCAAAATAGGTTACTTTTTCCCTAGAAATGGCAGATGCTCCTCACTTGAAATTCAGCTATCCAGAATACTGTTATAAGAAAAAAGTATTTCTACTTGAGCACCCAAACACATCATTACTTTTTTGTGCTGGAACTTATACAGAACACAAGAGCAACACAGCAGTGCTTCTGTGATGCTATCACATTCAAAGCAGGACAGAACAGCAAACAAGAAAAGTGCAAGGCAGAGTGGTTCACACCTGTGATCCTAGCTACTCAGGAGGCAGAGATCAGGAGGGTTGCAGTGCAAGACCAGCCCGGGAAAAATAAGTTCATAAGACCCCCCCATCTCACCCAATAAAAGCAGACACGCCTGCCGTCCCAGCTAAGCAGGAAGCATAAATGTGAGAACCACAGTTCAGACTGGTCTGGGCATAAAATGAAAGAATCTACTCAAAAAACAACTAAAGCAAAAAGGGCTGGCTGGCTAGACGTGGTAGTTCAAACCTGTAATCCTAGATACTCAGGAGGCAGAGATCAGGAGTATAGAGATTCGAAGCCAGCTGGGAGAAGGTGAAAACTATGTTATTCTCAAGTGCTAAATTAGATTTAATTTACTTTTTTGTTTTGTTTTACAATGTGGAGAACTGTGGAAGTTTTTTTAAAAATAAAAATGTTAAAAATAATTTAAATATTTTGATGTGGATAATTTCATTCAATATAAAAGACTCAACACTTTTAGTGTCCATCAGGAAAGGACCAACACGACAACCGCTATCCTAAAGGAGTTTAACACGATTTATAAATTCAGCTCTCCAGGAAAAATGCATTCCTCCAGGAACGATAAAAAACACAAACCAAGTATTTACAGCGTGCCACTACAATGAGTTTATCCTGTTTCCTGAGAAGTATTTATGCCTGCTACGGTCTAATGGCCAAAATACCTAAAACGTCCATTAATCTGCACAACTAAGCAATATATGAGAATGCTTCACTATTTTAAAAACTGGATTTTTGGTTTTTTTTTTTTTTAATAAACTAAAAGTAGTAAGACTTAACAGACACATAGGTCTTACTTTATCTTCTCCCAGGAGAGAAAGGTATTTATTGGAAAAATTGGGGGTGAGGAGTATGAAGGGCAAGAACTCATCATCAGATATGCTGTCATATGGGAGAGAAAATGGAAGAGAGAATGTGCGAAAGAGCCCTTTATCACACCTAACAATTCTCCATAAAGGAACAGTCAATCTGTTTTATATGACTATCTCTTTAAGAGTATCGAAGTAAGAATCTTTGCCTCTAGGTCTGATTAACACTGGAAACAGTTTCAAAATGAAATTTCTAAGCCTTCCAAACGGAAGACCTGATGAAAGTTAAGAATATTTTATCAGTTAGAGACCCCTTGACTACAGGCCAGTCTAACCTCAGTGATTACCTGCCCTCTACTCTCAACAAAGGTCTTGTATATGCTTCTAATTCTGCTGCTGTATACCACCTAATCTGATGCCTCTAGGTTGGTTTAATCCAGAGGCTGAAACACTATTCAGGCAGTCCTTCATAACTAGAGATAATATATCTGGCTTTATTTATTAGCAATTTCTTTTAATTTTAAGAACTTCACTTCACCTCAAGCACCTGTGACAAGAATATAAACAGTAACTCATTTAACTTTGAATTTAAATTTTTCCAATGCACCTAGCAGTGCACAAAATGGGTATACACATGTACATGTATATGTATATGTATATGTGTGTGTGTGTGTGTGTGTGTGTGTGTGTGTGTATTTGCAGCACTAAACTAATTGGACAGGGCCAGAAGCAGCAAGATTCCTTATTTTTAAGTTGATTTCTTTTGCAGTCTGAAGACAGAAAAAGTCTTATTAATCTTAACTCTCTCTGCTTTCAAGCCAGAATTCACTATTTTCTTCTCTTGAAATAATGGTTCTTTAAGCATCCCTCACTAGCAGAAGACAGCTGTGTCTTTTATTTGGGATGTGAAGTTCGCATGAGTGTTTAATCATTGAACCAAGTAAGAGGGGTGGCAGGTCTCACAGCTGATCTTAGCAGCCACTAAAACTCACTTTGCAAAATAACTTCCACACTGTCTTCACTGCTTTCTGGCTATATAGACCGATGAAAATTATTTTAAAACTCTCTACATCAATTTCCAAGCAATAATGATTATCTCATAGTTTCTGTGGGGATTAAATAAATTAATGTCTGGTAGAGACCCTGATAATTCCTCAGTAAGTACAAGTCCCACTTTCTATTGGTGGTGCCTACTGTAAATGCTTGGAAACAGAGTATCTCAATTACATCAGAATGCGATGTTTCAAAATTATGTGTAAAAAAGTTTTTATCATGCAAGATAAGATGACAGTGACTATACACATAAAGTCCCATACCCACAAGAGGCTTGTAGTTCATTTGAAAAACAAATCTTAACTACATAAAAGATGGTTGATTTACTCATTTGGTCATCTATCAAAAATTTACTAAGTACTATTATGACACAGTCTTTAGCATAAAGCAGTTTATGTCTAATAAAAGCAGCCAAGCATATATTTTAAAAAACCTATGCAGGAAGAGGCACCTGCACACCCATGTTTATTGCAGCACTATTCACAATAGCCAAGTTATGGAAACAGCCAAGATGCCTCACCACCAACGAATGGATTAAGAAAATGTGGTATCTATACACAACA